ACCATAAAAATTAACGTAAAAAAACTATCCAATGTGCCGGGAAATTCTTCATCGATAACTTCCATATCGCCGCTAAAATGATTCAGCAGACGTCCCAATGGCGTAACATCGAAGAATTGGCAAACTGATGCGCGTATTATGTGATAGAGCAGGTCGTTATGAAGTAGCTCGGCTGCCTTCAGAGCGCCAGTGTACAGCAAAATGACGGCGAAATAGGCAAACAAGCCTACATATCGGACAGGGCAAGGGCGTAGTGTCAGGTGCGTAGAGGTGTGGTGTAAGGAAGAAGGAAAATAAACATAGAAACTTATGTTTAGGTAAAAATTTTGATTGATATAAAGTGGAAAATACTCGTAAAGTGTCTTACTGCTGCCATACGCTGTTTACCATTTTCATGAGATCATGTCAGCCAAAGAACTCCAAGAAGGTATGAGAATTCAATGTAAGATGGGTAAGATGGGTAAGTTGCACGAATTGCTGCTGGTGTTTATGTGCGATTTTTTATATAGAGGAAAATGCCAATTATGAGTTATTAAATAAAGAATTTGTAATAAATGCAGTGGTCAGCCAAAGGTTAAAAAAAAAATCCTTCATATTATGGTGCTTATGAAGGATGCTGCTGTTGGTTTTGAAATAATTCAGTATGCAGCGCTAACCGGAGCTTTAGTTTATTGCTGTGCGAAATTAAGTTAGAAAAAACTTCAACTTTTTAAATAAAAAAATAAAAGTTTTTTATGAATGTTATATTCGAATGTTTTCCTTAAGCACGAAAGCATTGTAATGGCATTAACTGGAAATAATAGTGTGGCAAAAATTAAATGGAAATGGGGATAAATGTTAAAAAAGCAATAACTGCTAAAAATTCATTAATTTTAATGAAAACCTTTTTTGATAGAGCGATTAGAGCGAGAAAAAATAACAGTTATAGTAATAGTAATAATAATAATAATAATAATAATAATAATAATAATAATGTGTAATAATAATAATTATAATAACAATATTTAAAATTACGGAAAATCAATTGAGGATAGCTTCAAATGGAAAGGCTCGAGAACGTCTGAGATACGAAAATTTCATTGTTTTATCGAAATTTGTGAGATTGGCTGTATTCGAGTCTTTAGCTTTCCACCTTTCACGTTGAAATACACTCTTTTTTCAATATTTTTTAAAACAAAAGAAATTTTACCTAATAAAAAAATACACCAAAGCGCTCGCTCTTAAGAAACAGCATCTGCTCAAGCGAACAAAAAATAAGAGAGCGAAAACGGTCGTTTCAAGAGTACAGTGTTTGGAAATGGAGGAATTAACATTATGGGACAATTCTTTCAGACTTTACTGCAATATTACTGTCAAGCAGAACTTAGAAAACAATTATTTTTTTAATTTGGCATCGAAAATTTGGGTATCGAGTCTTCTCAATTCGATAAAACAATTATTTTTTTAATTTGGCATCGAAAATTTGGGTATCGAGTCTTCTCAATTCGATAACAATGGGTACTCGACTTTTCTTAGAGCGATACTTTAAATGAGAACTGCATCGATACTTTTGGCTCGATATATTTTCCCTAGATGACACAATATCTCTCAATACCATATTTCAGTCGAAACGTTTTAATTAAGGTTGGAACACCGCATTTTAAACCGCAAGTAACACTGTACAAGGTCAGCGTAAAGGTTCTGGAGAGTGAGTTCCTATTCTCGTCAGATGTCAGCCACTATTGGCGTAACGGGTGTAATGAGGCTCTGAATGTACCGCGGTATTTATTACCGATAAATGGACCCAGCGCTCGGAGGCATAGCTGTCCTTACAAACGGTTTAAAGAACCTATGCACTAACAAACTTTTAATCAATTTGCAGNATTTTAGTGATAAAGTTATGCTGCATTTCCACTAGGAATTGAAAGATAAACCACAAATGTACAGCATTGATAAAACGCCATGTTGAAACATTGAAATATTCATTGTCAGATAGAATTTTTTATTGCACAATCTGTTGGTGTAATTTCAATGTCTAGTGGAAATGCGACATAAGAGCTTGCAATAGACACAGCGCAAGGCGTACATATTGAGCTGCTAGTTTTCCAAATTACCTAGTACTTGCAGTTTCACTTTTAAAAAGTAATTGATATTTGCGAGAAAATGTTTTTGTTAATAAAGTTAATTTGCTAAATTTTTATGCGAGTGTTAAAATCAGCGCATAGCTTTGCCATTCGGTTAGTAAACAGGTGGAGATCGTAGTTTATTTGCATATTTAGCTTTTTAATGCAGAATGCTTAATACTAAAATGTCGTCAAAGCAATTTAAACGGTAATGTCAATCACCTAATTGCTCTTTCTTTTTCTATAAAATAATTGGTTAGGCGATGATAAATTAATCTTTTCTAGATGATACGGTAATTATTAGGCTTTTTGTTTTTTCAGTTCCCAAATACGAAATATATATTATTCAAAAACAAGTTAAACACTACATGTTTTGCAAAAAGAATTTGTTTGTTTACCCCAAAGCATGTTGATAGAAATTGTTGCACCACAGCAGGCAGTGTGGTATCGCAGGTATCGATATCTTTTGAAAAGCGACTAAGGACGCGACCCAATGGAGTTGTATCGAATAGTTCGGTTGGCCAACGCATTACGCTCTTAAGCAGTTTGACAAATACCTCCATGGAACAATTAAGACAACCATATGCCAAAAACAATCCCGATAAGTAGCGTGAAATGACTAGGCGAATGCAAATTCACCAATTTCAGTGTGTAAATATTTTTATTTGTGGATTTTCGATTTAAAGTGATAAATTTAGAGGAAAATGTTTTAAGTAAAATATATGCATGTAAAATGTATGCGGTTATAAATTCTATATGTATGTAAATACGAGTATAAATTGCGAGGCTTTTCTATTTTAATACGAAAAAAAAATAAAAAGGGGGATAAGTATCAAAATATTGGAAGGATATTGAAATGCTTAGACTAACGATAAAAAAAAACAACTTAAAAGAAATCAGCATGCAATCAATTAAATAATTATATGTATTAAAAAAGGGAAATTAATTTAAACTACAGTAAGTAGTTAAGAACATGCGCTGTGTTAAATGAAATATTTTGGTTAATCTGCAAAAAAAATACATAGGTGAGATCGATTTAATGTGTCGCTCGCTACAACCAAAATCAAGCTAATTAATTATTGTTTTTACACTTAGGCGGAGGGGAGATCTTATGACACATTAGCATGCTTTTAAAAAATGGTTGCAAATCTGTACAAACTGTGAACACATAGTGGTTGCCAGCTGGCATCAACAATATGTACTACGTACATTAGACCGTACCACCTTACAAGCAAAAAAAAAAGAAATCGCCGTACACACCTGAGCTAAAGTATTTTTGCAAGGCAATTTCAAAAAGTGGTTTTTGGCCTAACCTGTGGATCGTCTTTTTATATTTTTCGGCGACACCTATGTATGTATGTATGTACATTCGGAAATATTTTGTTTTTATAAAAAAACAGGCCGATTAACTAAAACAAAAGTCTTACAGTTCTGGCAACNAGAACATGCGCTGTGTTAAATGAAATATTTTGGTTAATCTGCAAAAAAAAAAATAGGTGAGATCGATTTAATGTGTCGCTCGCTACAACCAAAATCAAGCTAATTTAATATTGTTTTTACACTTAGGCGGCGGGGATCTTATGACACATTAGCATGCTTTTAAAAAAATTGTTGCAAATCTATACAAACTGTGAACACATAGTGGTTGCCAGCGGGCATCAACAATATGTACTACGTACATTAGAGCGTACCACCTTACAAGCAACAAAAACAAAAAAAACAAAGAAATCGCCGTACACACCTGAGCTAAAGTATTTTTGCAAGGAAATTTCAAAAAGTTGTTTTTGGCCTAACCTGTGGATCGTCTTTTTATATTTTTCGGCGACACCTATGTATGTATGTATGTATGTACATTCGGAAATATTTTGTTTTTATAATAAAAAAGCCGATTAACAAAAACAAAAGTCTTACAGTTCTGGCAATTATCTTGACAGCTATTTTCTGTCTTTGGAAAGAGTAATTGAAAAACCTGCTTACTAGGAAGGCTTAGCGTTATTCTGTTCGTCTTCTAGCAATAAATTTTCTAACAATTAAATTAAATTAAAAAAAAAAAATATATAAGTATTGTTGTTGTAAAAAATATATAAATATTTTTCCTTTTTAAACAAAAAACCTGATAACTAAAAGAAAATTTAATATAAAAAAAAGTAAGTTATTAAGTTTCTTAAAATATTTTTCATTTTAAAACAATAAAATTTAAAAATNAAATTAAATTAAAAAAAAAAAATATATAAGTATTGTTGTTGTAAAAAATATATAAATATTTTTCCTTTTTAAACAAAAAACCTGATAACTAAAAGAAAATTTAATATAAAAAAAAAATAAGTTATTAAGTTTCTTAAAATATTTTTCATTTTAAAACAATAAAAAAAGTAAAAACGAAAAAAATATTAATTCCTAAAAATGAAATGAAATTAAAAAAATTTATTTTTTTATTTCAAAACATCTAAAAATTTAAAAAAAAATTGAGAAATGCTATAAAACATGTTTTAAAAATAATTTTCTTTGCAAAACATTAAAAGAACATAAAATTTAAAATCTAAAAATGAAAAGAAAATTAAAGTAAAAAATAAGTAAATAAAAAATCCACTGGGCCTAGCAGCCACTTCAACCTAACCTAACCTAACCTACTTTGCGCCCACTGCGACTGTTGAAGCAACGCGAGCAAAATTTCCACTCCTTTGCCCAAAATTATCGTAAAAAATGAGAACCATCAATTCTTCGGAATATATTTTTTTTTATCAATTTACTGACTGGTTGTTCGTTGGGAAAATAAGACCTGAGATCTGATGGGCAAGTACTGGAATGAACTTTGGAACAAAAAAAAATGTCTCCTTAAATGCCGAAGATATGACTAAAAAGGTAAAAAGGCAACCTCTACGTTCGGCAAAAAAAAAATCTACACCGCCTTGCAAAACTACTTTAGACTTGGGAATGTACGGCGAATTTTTTTCTCTTGCGGTCTAATGTACACATAATAAAAAAGTTTGAACGAACAAAAAATATTTATTAAAGCATCAATTAGAATGAATGCACTACGTTTTGAACAGTTATTTTAATACTTTTAAAAGAAAAATATTTGCACTTGGTAAAATATTGGGTAGTTGAAAAAGTTCGCTCGGTT